TTCATTTTGAACAAACAGTCTAGCGAATTCTCATTTTAGAGAATATGTACACACACAGTGCGTTATGATAACTCAGCTGCCTAGCACAACATCAGCACAAAAAGTTGCTTCAAGCATAAATAATGGCGTTCTTTATAATGGAACAAGAAGCATAAAAACAAACAATCATTACTGATTGCAACGTTATCTTTAACACAGCTAACTTGGGCCCATATCAAAGCACGGTCAAATCAGATGATCTGAAACGAGGGTCTCAGATAAGGTTCTTAAGATGAACTACGATCGGCCACTCCCACATGCTATGAAATGCGATCTGACCTGACGGGTGAGCGTCAAGGCACGTGCCGTGATGAGCTCATCTGATTTCCCTCCGTAAGAACATTTGCTTCGATTTTGAGATGATCTTAAAGAAATAGTATGTACAAAGGATGAGAGGCAGAGAAAACCGTGAGTTGCTCGTGAGTAACTTACGGGACACGTAATGTGACATAACACTGTAGACGAAAGTGCTCGAACTTGCACAAATTTGAGGGGGGGGGTAGACAGAATCGACAGCTGACTGCAGCCGAACAAGGACAGAGTTTCTTCTTATTTCTTGCCAGGTTTGCCTTTTTTTAAAGAAACTTCGTTGAATGAGATTTCCTTGTTTGTCCCATTGTATTCTGTAAAGTTGCGGTTTCTCATGAAATTCCATGTTGAATTAACATGGTTTTGCTCGGTTTATCCATTTAAATTTGCAAGGTGAAATTTTTGATAGCAATAATTATCGATTTTTTATTACTGGGCGCTATCAATGACAATGCGCCAATGGCGCAAAATTTGATCCCTGGCCGATTTCGAACCACGGCCGATGGCGTTGCATGGCAATCAGTTATCCGTCCTTGCTCTAACACTACCCGTTTTTGTTCTCTAAATACGCACGCCCTTGTCATTTCTATAAAACGGTGAACATCCAGATCAAAAGCTCGTCGAGTGCCGGAGTGAGGCGCCCGCCGATCAACCCACGTCCACCTCAAAGGCCCTGGATGGGGGTTTACTACGGGCCTTGATCCTAGTTGAAAGATTGCAAGCTTATCAGGGAAGATTCTGCACGGTATCTGAACATATGTACATATGAGATGATTGATAATGCAACTATCCCAATGTTTGCCAAGGACTACTATAAGAAGGGATTAACAAAAAGACATGTCATTTAGCTGGTTGCTGTGGTTCAAAAAAATGTTTTGAATCCAGTCAAAGTTTCTAACAAGAAGCAGCAAAATTGCATTTTCCTGCAATCGAGCTGGACATGTACAATTTATGTCAACAACGTGCCCTCTTTTCCGTGGCATCTACGCATCCGCATCGCGTGGGCATTGCGCAGCGATCTCCGATCAATGCGGCAAAATTTGCACGCTCAAGCGGTACGCTCGCAAACGTATGACATGGCTGCTCAGGCCTTGCCCTTCGGCTAATTATCAAGAGATCGCATCGAACAAAGACTGTATCAAGTTAGCAGTCGTGTTCAAGCGGTGGTCAGATCCTAGCTTTTCGATCGTGAGTAGTCTCTGCTTCACAACCGAGGTTAGCGATCGTCTTACGTCCATCAAGAGCTAGGCCGGCCTTGTAAATTTTGACGGCAAGAAAGAGAAATGAAAGATACTCTTTACGTCGGATCTCGCTTACTGCGCCGGTCAGACGCCTTCTGGATCAGACAGAAACAACACGCCTGCTCGCAAGACATGCTTTGGAAAATGCCTTACGCCCTGTACCTACAAATCCAGGACAGTCTTTACAAGCGCCGACCTTCACGCTCTTTCTGACGCTGCAGAGCACATCACCACGTCATCCATCCGCAGGAAAGGGACTCAGGAGAACATGCGATAGATGAACGGTTGGACCACTGTTATTATTTTCTTGAGCCTGTCACCAAGATCAATAACTTTATTACGGCTGACGTTTCGGCGTCGTCGCCTTTCTCAGAGCATGGAAAGATCACAAAACATTCGTGCTATTCTCTCAAACACCTACCCGCCGATAAGATACAATCCAGCGTCATGGATACAGTTGCAGCGGTAGAATTTGTCCAAAATTGCGGGATTGTCGGGATTCGCGGGATTGTCGGGATTTGCGAGATTCGCGGGATTTGCGGGATAAGCAGGATTTAGCTATAACTTCCTTTAAAACAGCTTTATTTGTAATCTGCGTGAAAATTTGGCTTCAGCTTGATGAGACGAATTTTCTGGTATACAATATGTAATTCATAGTGACACGGTAGACATATGGTGATATCTTGTTATTCTCTATGTTAAGGCTTTTGTGAACATCTATCACCGTGTAATTCGCGAATAGGAGGTTCTGGTACGAAGTTCTCATTATCGAAAACTATCGCGAAAAATTGGGCAGTTTTTATTTACCCTTATCACTGATATAAGCATTTTATCATTTATCACTGATAATATCACATTTTCGGATCATTTTTGGCATATGGTAAGAAAAGTAGTGTAGGAAACGCTGTGTGAATTTCTATCGCTCTTTCTCTCATTATAAGTGATCTACAGGATTTCCTAGTTCTATTGTTCGGTCAAATGGTGGCTCCCTCGCTGCAGCAATCGATCGATTTCTCATCGGCACATGCCATTGCTGCCAATTCTTACCTGAAATGGCATTTTTGCTTCAACTCGCTTCACGCCAAAGCCTGTGCTGAACTTCTGCACCTATATAAAAGATGAACGTGGGAATCGGCCGCGTGAATTTAAGCTATTCTTATTTGTCCTTATCATTGATATACCATTTTATCATTCATCACTGATGATATCACAAAATTGGATCATTTTTGAACGGTAAGGAATGTACTTTAGGAAACGCTATGCGAGTTTTTATCGCTCTTTTTATCGCGCTATGGAAAGATCACAAAACATTCGTGCTATTCTCTCAAACACCTACCCGACGACAAGATACAATCCAGGTCATGTCTAATCCCTCAATACGACCCCACTGTGGCATGCCGCACCCCGCGCTTTACCCTAGATATAACCCAAGATTGTTATATGTCCTTGAGGCAACAACCAAGCCAGGTAACATCAGTAATTATTTAAGTTTGCATCTGCTTTCTGGAAAAATTTTTTTCCAAAGTTACCAAACAAATGAGAAATCTATTGATAGTCAACATCAGCATTGCACGGTAAAAGACCATAATTACGCGTGCACGAGGAGGGGGTGTAGGTAATAGAATAGGTGCGAGTTTTTTGAAGTAGTAGAGGTGCGAGTTTTTTGAAGTAAGTGTAACACATTTTGAACTAAAGAAGCTCATCACATCACAAGCAGACAAGGCTCTTCTACCCCGATCAATTCGAATTAACCGTACCTCTATTTTTACAGAGCAAGAAGGTGATGTGCTGATGTTGTACCAGTCTATGTTCTTGCGAGCTAAATCCCGTCAAACACCTATATATAAGGTTGGCACGAAAGTTTTGTCGTTTCAATTTCAAAAATTTGTAACTCCGCGAAATTTCAAGATTTGCTTGGTCTTGTAACTTTACTAGAAAGAATAAGTCATCCGCCTTCAAACGCGGTTGCGTGAAGCTTCTGTTTCATACTGGGTGCAAAGATAAAAATGGAAAACTAAGACCATATAAGTTTTGACCATTTTAAGTTAGGTCGCCAAAAATCTGGAAGGCCGCAGAAAAATCTGAAATCGTCAGTACATAGGTTTTTTGGCCTACACATTGCATCTGTGAAAAATTTGTGCTGTTTGGACATCCCTGTGAGAAGTTATGATTTTCGCGAAAATTGACAAATTAATTAATTTTTGCGTTTTCCATAGCAAACATTATATTCATAACTTCTCACAAAAACGTCCAAACAGCACACTTTCCACAGATGCAAAGGGTAGGCCAAAAAACCTATGTACTGACGATTTCAGACTATTCTGCAGCGTTCCAGTTTTGGTGGCCTAACTTAAAATGGTCAAAACTTATATGGTCTTAGTTTTCCATTTTTATCTCCGCATCCAATATGAAACAGAGGCTTCACAGAAAGCATTTGAAGGCGGAAAACTTATTCTTTCTACTAAAATTACAAGCAAGCAAATCCGTTGAAATTTCGCGGAGTTACAAATTTCTGAAAATGAAACGACAGAACTTTCGTGCCAACCTAATATTTCGCCAGCAGTGATGCAAGAGTTAACATCATATCAAAAAACCTGTAACCATGTCAATGGAGTCCATGCTGTTCACCTAATATGAAAGAACGCAAAATGATAATAGGAAAAATTGCGTGGTTACTGCTGGGATGGTGAAGTCTTTATAGTTAAAAAAACCAACAAATTGCATACATGCTCCAAGTCTGTAAGGTTGGATCAAAAGACGTCAAAGACGGAGATAATGCACACATCTACAAGCCAGTTTTCTGAATACTTCTTATCGTAATATACAGGGTGTCTCAAAAATGTGAACTGAAATGCTTTTTTATAGTTATCTCAGGTTTAGGGTAGAGATTGCTTTTCCATTTTCGTCCAAAGTGTGATTACACCATCAAAAAGCTTGAAAAACTGGCAAAATAATAGCAAAGTCAGCATGCCTAAGATTTGCTACACAAATATCTGGATTTTCTGAAATTTTCTTTATTGAAAGGCCTGTTCCACATGGCGCTTTATGCCGCATGTATATACCGTAATCCTACAGTAACAAAGAAAGATCTGAGAGTCGTTCCATGCTGTAAATCTAAGTTAAACCTCGTTGTACAGAATGCATGAAATCAAGAGAGTTATTAACGGTCAAACAGTGTTTACATTTTTTAGAACACCCTGTATATTCGACGTTTGGGCCAGGGACACTTTCGTTTAGATAGTTTATAATGGAAAAAGTATAGGCATAGGTTTTTTTTCCTAAATATAGATTTTTTCCCAAGTGATCTAATAATGGACCATACATTATAATCCCTTTATCACGGCACAAAACGAAAGCTTATTAAAGATGGATAAATACTATCTACATTATTGTCTACAGATTCGCTCATTGTTTTCAGGTTGCAAGTATCAGGCTTCCCAACATTTGATACGTCAAGCCGTCAATTCTTAGTTCTCGTTAAGATGCGTATAATTCTAACACTGCTTGCATCATCTTATGTGACGGCATCCCACATATCTGCAGGTTAGCTTCGATAACAAATGAGCATTATTTTTCCCGTGTTTTAAAGTAAAATCTATTTTATTACATATGCCTGCAATCAGTTTTCTTCCTCAAACAATCTTTGCTCCAGAAAAATTCTCTCTCCGCGTTCCTGATCATGTGAAACAATTAAATGGGCAAGCACCAGCGGATTATATCAATAACAATCATCCATTTCATAAGGTATGAAAACTTTACATTGATTGACTCAAAATTACAAGTTGTGTCTCTAAGTTTGGAGAACGGGGTATAGCTATTTTCATAAAAACCCCTGGGTACTGCTTTTACAGGCAAATCCTCCAAGAATGACATATGAAGAGTTCACATCGCGTTTGATGAATGTCAAGTACTTGACAATACCTAAAAAGTCCGAAAGAGCAGAAGAGCTTGAAGTTGCCGAAGAAATTCCCGAAAGGTATTCCATCTTTTGCCTGTTAGAAATTATCTAAGCAATCTTCGATTTTTCAACATGCAGTTTTGATGCTCGAGAAAAATGGCCGCACTGTGATTCAATAGGCTTAATTCGAGATCAAGCTAATTGTGGTAAGAGACTGAATTTGAATGAATCGCCTAACATATCAGCACATGGTTAGTTTGTAGGATCGTGCTGGGCGGTATCAGCGGCATCTGCAATGTCTGATAGACTGTGTATCCAGTCAAATGGAAGAAACAAGGTTAGGAAAATGTGAATACAATATCCAGCAGTGACTTTGTGTGCAATTTTCTTCAGACAATACTCTCTGATGCTGATTTGCTTGCATGCTGTGGTGAAAGCTGCGGTTATGGGTAGGTTTGAGTAGGCTTTCTCAAGTGTTTGAAAATCTGGCATGATTACGGATTGGTGGTATATCCCTCCAAAAATACTACTCCTCCAAATATACTTTTTTATAATATTCCTCCAGATATACATTTCGTTTTTGTTTCTAGCACATTTATTGAGTGTATTGCAAAATAAAAATAAAACTAAAAGATGAAAAAAATTCGCAAACGATATTCAATTTGGCAATTTTCGCTTGATTGTACCATGTTGCAAAGTAGCAATAATCCAAACAACAAGCTCTTTACATCGAGGTTGGTATAGCGTAGGATGATCTGTTTTCTCTGATTATCAGATCTTCGCAATATTCATTCTGTGTGAAGAGCGAAAAAAAAGTTGCGGCTAAAAGGAAAGTTCAAGTTGCTTGATTGGGAACATCGAACCCTCACAGCCGTAAAAAAGTTTTTCTTCGGTTTTTTATCAGTGCAATCGAAGTAGAATCTAGTAAGACTCCTACGTCTATGCACGACTCCTTTCTAAACTCAATTGTCGGCTGGTCGCTTTTAGCGTTAATATTTGAAATGATAATTTCTCTTTGAATTCCGCATAAGCTTCTGCTTTTATTGCCAGGTGTCTTCATGCCTTCATAGCTGGGGCAAGGTATTCAAGTGTTCCAAGTTCTCGCATTAATCTTGATCCTCCATCCACCTCATTTTAAGTCTATCTGTAGGCTTTTTCCTGGTGCACCATTGAAGCTAACCTCGTGAGCATTCCTCCTTTTTGCGCACACGTCCATACCATCGTATTCCTTCGCACATCTCTTCTCCAACTAGAGCCACATCGCAGATGTAGTCTTCAAGAGTGACATCTAGGCCAATAGTAATCCCCCCTCGCTGGCAATAGGTCCCGCCAGCAGGTCGCCGCCACCTGGCCGCGGCGTCGTCAAAAACTCAGTTTCCAAATCTAGGCCGTCGCAACCCTTGTCTCAGGAAAACCGGAAAGTTCCTGGATGAAGGTGCCACCGTTAGAAAAACCTCTATTGAAATCTGGAGTCTCAGGAATTTTCCTTTGGAAAGCTATTGAAAAACATCGGAATTGCTGCCAACAACTTCGAGAGCTCAGTTTCCGAAACCTGCCGGTAGCTCCTCGAAATTGGCGAGGTGGGCAGCTGCCGGCAGCACAAGAAATGGTGTGCTCTTTGATAGAGCAAGGTGCCGGCCTTGTCTTTTATCACTTTCTGTTCTTCATCGTTCCACCTCCACGTTTCTCAATTGATCCTTTTCTTCCTGGATTCCTACTTTTTAGGACTATGTGAAACTTGGTGGACCCGATCCTTCAAGCTTGTCCAGGATCGCTCTAAGTTCTCCTGCAAGTTTGCGAAAGTTGTTACTAATGTGTCGCGTTCTCGGCTTTCAATATCCACCATTTGAAGCGTGTCCTGATCTCTCAATTATTTTTGATATGCCTTCGACTGAGATTCTGAGGGGTCGAGAAGCAGTTATCCATAATGAGGTATGCACTTTTCACCGAGAACGATTTTGCAGTCCTCTACATATGTGCAGAGTTGTGATGGGGGGAGCCTTGCCCACCAAAGTGAAGGTGACCTCAGCTACCACTGGCCGACTAAAAGTGAAGGTGGTACTATCAGACACCCACCTCCAAAAACGTCGAACGGGGGGGGGGGGGGAGGGAGGGAGGGGGGGGGTGGGGGAGCGGGGGAAAGGGGGGGGGGGTGTAGAACGAATGAACTGAGCTTTTCTTCGAGGTCGAACTGTGAGTCAACAGCCCTCTTTAGGGCCACAGATACGATGAATACGGCAGCATAAGTATTTAAAATAAACGTGTTTAGTAAATGTATTTGGAAGTAAAAATTAGCGGGAGTGTACGGTTTTTATTAAGTAAATTTTGTCATAACGTACTGCGAAGAAAGTACTCTATTTTCAGGTGTATAAGCCGCACCCTGTTTGCTCCAAATGCGAACAGACCCAGGCGTGTCGCCACGCATATGTCTCGCGAAGCGGTCGCCTTATCGCATACTGCTCTCACTTAACGCGCTCCATGATGACAGTCAGTCTTTTGGCGTGTTCGCTTTTAGAGCGAAAAGGGTGCGGCTTATACACCTGAAAATAGGATAGGTCGATCCAGGCCGTAACCGCCAAGAACCAGAATTTCGAATGATAAAATAACGAAAAAATCCGAAATTTACACTGTTGCAAATCTGGCGTTTGAACAAGTCAGCGATTGCGACTTCATAGGTTTTGAAGGGTAAATCGTGGTCTATCAGATATTGAAAAGGTCGAGTCGATTTGAGAGATAGTCTTTAAAACCAGAATTCTGAAAATTTACCCTAATTTCACGCGTATAAGGCGAGCTTTTTCAAGCGAGCCGCTCAGCCGCTTCAGTGTGTTTCGGGAAAAGATGCTTATACCGCACAACTCTCTTAAAGGCAGTGTCCGGGCAAAAAGTCGATTTTGAGATTTTGTGCTTACTCGGGCCTATTCACTATGCTGAATCCGAAAATCCACATTGGAAAGCGCAAAAAAGGCAAAAAAGGGCTCTAACGCAGGAGGGAAATCGAAAGTGGGCGGGATCCTCCCCACTGTGAACTTCGCAGTCCCAGATTCTGGAGCCTTTCCCAATTCTGGAGATTTCCCAATTCCTCTAGCGCCCTGAGGTCTCCACCGGCTAGATGCGAATGCATGACTTGAAATCGGAACCGAGAAAATCGCTCTGGAGCTGGGAGCGTGAATTCAATTGGAGAGGACCCCGCCCACCTGCTGATTTCCCTCCCGTGTTAGAGCCGTTTTTAGCCGTTTTCGCGCTCTCCGATGTGCATTTTCGGAGTCAGCGTAGCGAATAGGCTCGGGTAAGCAAAAAACCTCAAGATCGAATTTTTGCCCGGACACTGCCTCTAAGCAATATACAGCACGTTAGAGGGTCCTTTAGTTGTAAAGTCCTTTGGCGTGTCCGGGGTAGTCAGTTTTAGAAAAAAAATCCCCGCGCCTTATACGCGTGAAATTAGGGTACGCGTGTTTAATGACAGCTGACAGTTAGGCCTAAGGCATACCTCACGCGATTTTAGTCGCCGTGCGATTTGGCACTGCAACGACGCTTCATAGCTGGTCGTCAACGCACTTTGCTTAAGCCAGACTTGCTGCGTTTTTTTTCGTTTTTTTGACCTACGGAATCTACGCACCCATGCAACTGAGAACTTTGCATGCTCAATCTCTAGACATCTGGCGAATCGCCAAGTCGCGAGGATGTGGCGATTTCGCGAAATCGCGTAAGATATGCCTTAGGCCTTAAACTCATATGATTTCTAAATGTGAAGGTGTGTGATGTTAGGCTTTGTAGGCTTTGTAGGGTAAGGTTTACATTATCAGTATATATCTTAGCCGTAACGATCCATTGAAACAGCGCCGAGATGAAGGGTCTTGAAAAAGCAGGTAAAAAAGCGCTTTTTGAAGTTCAACAGCTCATAACTTCTTCAGAACTGCATGAATCATGTTGCGACTTCATAGATTAGATTCTTGTCATCAAGAGCTTTCAGATGATTAAAATATGTGGGGCTTTAGGGCCTCTTACGACTTATGCCCCTGGAGGGAGACTTTTCATCACAAATTCTCCCCTGGCGGCCTCCATCCATTACATTGAAGTGGTTTGGGAGAAGAATTTGTATGAAAAGTTTTCCTCCACGGGCATAAGTCGTAGGAGGCCCTAGACCCCCACATATCTTACATTATCTAAAAGCTCTTTATGAGAAGAATCTGACCTATGAAGTCGCAACATGACTCATGCAGTTCTGAGGAAGTTATGAGCTGTTGAATTTCAAAAAGCGCTTTTTTATCTGCTTTTTCACACCCTGGATCTCGGCGTTGTTTCAATGGATCGGTACGGCTAAGATATATTCTGATAAGGCAAACCTTACCCTACAATGCCTACAAAGTGGAACATCATACACCTTCACATTCAGAATTCATATGAGTTTAACTGTCAACTGTCAAAAAACACGCTAAAATGGCGAAATTTTTTAGAATTCTGGTTTTCAAAGACAGTCTCTCAAATCCACTCGATTTTTTCAATATCTGATAGAGCACCATTTACTCTTCAAAGTTTATGAAATTGCAATTTCTGACATCAAACACCAGATTTATAACAGTGGAAATTTCGCATGATTTTTTTATTTTATCATTCAAATTCTGATTCCGGCGGTTACTGCCTGGACCGATCTACTTTCTTCGCAGTACGTTATGACAAAATTTACTTAATAACTTTTACTTCCAAAGATACCATTTACTAAACACATTTATCTCAAATATATATGCCGCCGTATACACAAAAATATGCTTTCAATAATCTTTTTTGTGTTTGTTTTGCTTATTTTCCTTCTTTATCGTCCAGCGAATAAAATTTTATTCCAAAAGTGAAGGTGGTCACCCTGTACCAGCTCAAAAGTGAAAATAGGCAGAGAATTGGCTCCCACTATCGCACCTCTGCGTATGTGGAATCACAAAGTTGAATAGTTGAGAAGTCTATCTGGTTTCTTCGATCACCACTCGCATATAATGATGTGATCCACCTTCAGAATGTAATATGTGTTCCCAAAAAATCATAATCTGGACGTTCCAAAATGCGCTCACCTTCTTCACTGCATGTTTCATATCGGTAGTTGACTTCTTTCCAGCTCCTTCTTGATTTCCTATCACATGTCCGAAAGTCCGCTCCTAGCTGGAGTGTCTCTTATATGAAACTGAGCTGATTGTCATCGAATTTCTGCCAGAATGCGTCAGTTTCACCATCCTTACGCATCCTTACATCCCACTTGTGGTGCGTAAGCGTTAAAACTTTAGAAGTTGTTCTTCATTATGTGCGCTCATTAGGCAATCGCTTATTCAATGTTAACTATGTTACTCAGTAGAGTTTCTGGCATAGCTATAGCGAGACAGCTATACCAACTCTATTTATGTTGCTGCTGGGTTTGTAGAAAAGCTTATATCCATCTCCAATGTCTCAAAACTTTTCCGCGTTCCATTCCGTTTCTTGTATGCAGGCTACTCCATCAATTCGCCTGTGCGAAAGATCTGCCAACTTTTGAGATTCGAATGTAACTACTTTGATGGTAACTAAACGGAAAGTCTGCGCTGCTTGGATCTTTGGCTTTGGTGAAGTAGCCGCTTTAGCTTTCCTTCTTCACCTTGCTGAGACAGTAACATTCGCATACTTACAGTGGTAGACTCTAATGCACGTCCAGGGAACACCTAACCTTTGCTCGTGCATGGAATTGAATGATCCGACGGGGTGTGTATCAGCCTGCTTGTCATATTCCCGTTTTTAGAAGGGCAGCTTGACGCTGAAACTGACAGAAAATGCCATTGGCATGCTCAGGGTGAACTGTACATGCAAACTACAGCGCAATAATGAGGAGCACTAGCCATTGATTTAACGGCTCGCTTATACCAATCTAGCATACAATTTCTACGGTACCTTGTTTTTGAACTTGAAGATCCAATATGTACAATAGTTTTTTACTTTGAAAAATTCCGAAAAGAGCTGCAATTTTCGCTTTGCTTGAAAAAAGGTTTCAACCTTACGATCGATGCAAATAGTGTACTCGTTGTCTCTCTCATCTTTTTTTTGAACGTTAACACCACCTTTCCCATCTGCTGCGGTAATTGAAACGTTTCAACCGAGTTAGAAAGCGGAGATAATACAATTTGAGAAAAAATTCTGTGCTAAAATCTGCAAGTGTTTGCGGCTTTATGGCAGACCAAGGACTTGAATTTGCTTGGCATGATTAGAATGTCGCGGTACTGCTTATTGTTTGCACCTTGCAAACTCAGCTAAACGGTGACTTATCAGTTAAAGTATCAGAAGCATGATTCAATATCATGTTTTTAGAGCATTCCTTTCTGGAAAAAACGAAAAGATTTTACGTCTGCACTGCGCTGTCACGTCTGCACTTAAATTGAATTGTAGAACGTAGTGATTGAAAGACCATATATGGTTTGCATTTCATAGTCGGAAACATCCATAGCGGAAACTCGGCTGATGTATGTGACTTTTCATTTAGAGCAATTGGAAGCTGCACAATTGCTTACACAGAAGTTGAATGGAGAAGTCGCACCCTAGACTGGCGCCATGCTAGCTCATCCTTTTCCTAATGCTGCTCTTTTGGGTCCGTATGTACGTACATCCCGGCCGGGGAGGGAGGGGGGTCTGAGAGGGGATGCGTCATATTTCGCTACTCTTTCTCCTTCCTTTTCTATCTTGCTTATGAAGGTTCTCATACCCTCATAGCTGCGCATAATGGATGCCAGGTTACTAGCGTGGATGATTAGATTTTCACTATTTTCTGTGATGTTCTAAGGATCCTCTGGGGATCCCGGAGGATCACCCCTCGACTTCATTGCCGTTTATCTCCTAAAAACTCAATAAAACGCTGTAAAATTGTACTCTGGATATACTACAGCGCTGCTCAAGATGATTATAGTAGAAATAACTGAAGTCTCAGCACATCGAAATCTTCGGTAATCCCTAGCTCGCGAGCCAGGAATCATCGAAAAATCCACAATCTTCAAATTTCTTTCTTCTGTCGAAAATATGCTTAACAGTGCCGTATACATCCTCAGTACAACTTTACAGCTTTTTCACTGACTTCCCAGGAATATAAATCACTAGAAAATGAGAGGTGATAAGGTACACAAAATGGCAAAAAATCAATTTTGTATGAAAGTAACCTGGTATCCATTATGCGCAGGTATAAGTGTACGAAAAACTTTATAAACAGGATAGAGAAAGAAGAAGAAAGATACGTAGAGTAACGAGATATGACGCATCCCCTCTCAGATCCCCTCCCCTCCCCAGCAGGGATGTACGTGCATACGGGCCTGGTATATTTAGAAGCTGTTGGAGCAGACATATTTCGTTCTCATCCTCCCTTCAATATCTTTTAGACTAAGTTAAAAGGCTCGTAAAAGCCTACTTAGAACGAGAATTTGGCTTGAAATGAGATAATTACATCGTTGAGACGTTTTTCATGCTCCATTTTCGTAACTTCTATTCAACTTTCTTTACGCCTCGACATAAGCTAACAAAAGAACAGGAAACTATTATTCCCGAGATGGGAGAAATGTGTAGCTCTTTGCAAATATCTTTTATAACGATGCAAATTTTCACACAATCTTGTACCAACCAGCAACCGCGCTGGCGCTCTTTTTCACAACCAAAGTTCTAATCATGAAATGTTCTCATTACAAGGCGGTTCATTGAAATCGTGTTGGCCCGATTCTTCTGCAAAACACGCAGCTTTTGCTTTAGTGCCCAAGCCATCATAGCTCTGCTTGACAATCTTGTACGCACCACAAACAGCACAAAGTTTCATTATTAGCGATAACGGCAAATAGCATCTCGTAGGCAATTCCTGCAGATTAAAATTTTCCGCATTCTACTTTCAAATCGTGCTTGTCTTCTTTGAATTGCGCAGCTGCAGTTCTATGCTCTAAAATATTTTTGCAGTGTAAGGTATGAATTGTATGAGACTTGTCGGGATGCAGCTATTACCTAAAAGCAGCTCGCGATGGAGGTTGGCTTAAGATAGCGAGCCTCTGGCAGCGACCTCCGCCCGCCGGCAGGAGCCGATTCCCCCTTTTCTTTTGTATATAACTTGTATAATCAACATTATAGTAAGACTAATGTAAATACGCTACAGATCAGGTAAGGGCGTCATAACCTTATTCCTCACAGACTTCTTCTGGCAAACATGGAGTCATTCACAACAAAAGAATTCACCATTGTGTCAACATATGAAAGGTATGGCGAAAAAACAGAAATAATCTGAGCAGACTCAAAGCGATCATTTATCTTCAGCTAGTGGTTAATGCGACCGTTACAATCACTTGTTGTAACGGTCGCATCAACCACTCTTCGCAGCTTCTCTGGTAATTATTCATTGATTCTAACTCCTTATTTGAAGGTGGAATAATTAAGATTTTGGGTAGCGCAGAGTGCATCTTAGTTAGATTCTCATGAACTCGAAACCTCACTTTCAGCTTTGGGGCCAACAAGCACAGTAACTTCTCAAAGTATGTTTTGTTATAGCCCTGCTTCTGCTCGTTGATTCTATCAACTCCCAAACTATCTTTTGAAGCAATCAATATACAGATTCGAAAGCGAAAATCTAAAGAGACATTATGACATTTCAAACTCCCAAGTTCTGCTTAGTACTTTTTTGACGTAAGATAACCATGCAATGACAAACACAAGTTTTAACGTCTTTTGCATAATTTGAGAGAAGGTTATGATGAGGAATAAATGTCCTGATCTGTTCCTCTGTGTCCTACTGCACAGTAATTCGTGACATTAAAATGTGCACATGCGTGTTATATGGATCCTCGTCAATTATCTCAAAATTGAGGCTTTGGAAAAAAACTGAAATCTTTTTGCACGAGTTTTGAGCACATAGGATTTAGGTCAAGATGCAACACTTTTCTCCTAAAATGTTTAACTCTACAAGAAAGCTGCGAAAAACTTCATAGCGATATAGCTAAATAGTGTGACTCCGCACTCGAAGGATGACTGCTTCTAGGGCAAGTCGATTATATCTGCTTCATTATCTCTACACATTGCACAATGCGTTTGAGGAGACCGCGCCGCGTAGTACAGTTACACATCTACGCGCGAGCGTTACCATACGCTGACCACAGCGTGCAGGGACCGTGCTACGCAGAACATCGCGGGCCTTGTTTCTATCATTGTAATTCTGATTTTCCGTTTCTGTAGCAATGAATTGCCATTTTTCTTGCTTCTATGTTCACATGCGATCTGTCTTGGTGCCGGATATGATTTTTTGTAGCACAGGAAAGAGGTATCAAATCTTTGAGAGTTTTTCTTCATGACATTTTTCATTTGATCCAGGCCTTCTTCGGATAGCTAAAAACGGATGGGATGTCATGATTCATTATACCGACTCGTGTTTCAACAACATAAATCGTATATCGTTTATGTTCAAATGGACAGCGCCAACGTGCTGTTTACCCAAACTGTTCTCCCAATCTATACGAAATACGATTACATCTCACAATATTTACCTTTAGCTGTAATGAGGAAGAGCACCAGTCGCTTTCAAAATTCGCAGAAATAATCCAAACTATTAGGTTGTTGCAAAAATAATAATAAATAAAATAAGCTAAAATAAAATATAATTAAAAAATATATATAATAAGCTGATTAGCAGCAGCCAAAAAAACAAAACTAGGGAGTTGTAACCTCTTAAAGACAACGTTTTCAGAAGAAAAACTTTCGATCTTTTGACGCATGGTTTTCTTCCCGTTTGTGATATCAGTAAGTGCAGGTACGCGTCAGGTTAAGAAAGGTTTACTGCTTCATATGGTTTTGATTGCATTTAAGAATATGAAGACTGGACAAAGTTATAGCCTTTTAAAATGAAACTTTACAAAACGGACATTATTTTTGCAACAACCTAATACATCTTCTTTTGAAAGACCTCAAACTTCCATTTCGTCTTCCGTTCGCGCAATGATACTTTAAAAGATCTCGAGAAGTACCCAACTGGAGTTTCAAACAGGAAATCCTTAGAAATTTGGAAGCAGAACAGCGAACAAGCTGAGAAAGAAGCGGGAAAAGTGGCTAGAACAAGGATCACGCCGCGATGTGCGGCATGGTCCCTGCACGCTGCAGCCGACGGTAGCGCTCGCGCGCAGGGACCATGCCGCGAGTGCTGTGACTCACTACGCGGCGCTGGCCCGTCAAACGCATTGTACTTGATGCGCCGTTATTAATACATTGTAATACATATTCTAAGAAGCCCAATGAATGCTCATGTAGATCATGTTAGATTTCGTCCCTCTCTCCTTTTGCATTTTGTCATTCTCTTCTAGTTGCGGTGGAGGATATCTTCTACCAGCTTGGAAATACGCAGTGAATAAAGGAGTTTGTTCTGGAGGTTTGTATAAAGCAAAGGTAAAGCGTTTTCTCTTGTTGTTATGAGTTTCACTAAATGTTTAGGGTTGTTGCAAACCGTATACCTTCCATCCATGTGGTCAGCACAAAGATCAGCCGTACTATGGGGAATGCGAAGAAAGCGGTAAGATAATCACTTGTCGAGCGCTGTGTCAGTTTCGCTACAATAAGAGTTACGAGGAAGACAAGATTTACGGTATCTATCACAGTAATTTCATTTCCATCTTTATGAAACGTAATGCTGTCAAGTATCTGACGCATACTGGGTTGCTGACAATGAGGAAGCAATACAAAAGGAAATAATGGTTAGAGGACCAGCTCAAGCCGCATATGTGGTTTACATAGACTTTCTGTACTACAACGGCGGGGTCTATGTGGTATGTTATTCACAATCGTTAGTTTGATCGCATGTCTTATAAGTTATGGGCACTAATTTAATTTCAAAACTGAGTGCGGCTATTATCTGAAAACATTCTTCTTTCTTTCAATAATAATGATTTCAGGTTTCTTTCTTGTGTTTACTATTTCTTTTTCGCTTTTTAAATGAGTATTAACTCTGACCTATGATTTATAATGGCGCACTTCTTGTGCAATAAATATAATATAATATAATATAATATAATAAAAAGAAGGATATCACTGCGAGCTTTCTGGACATGAGAAGCGTCAGGCCTAAGGCGTACTTCCAGCGATTCCGTCAAATCGCTACATCCACGCAACTTGGCGAATAGCCAGATTTTTCAGATTAACCGTGCGCGGATTTTATACACATAGGTGCTTAGCTCTTGTAAATTGACGCAAACGCATAAGGTCTGGGTCAGGCAAAGTGCGCTTACGACCAATTATGAAGAGTCGTTGCAGTGCCAGATTGTGCAGCAACTGATATCGGTGAGGAATGCCTTAGGTCTCATCAGATAGTGCGTAGACGTTTTCTTTTAATCCCAAAATTTTTGACTAAGACTTGCTTCTTGCAATGTGATAGATCAACATAAATATTCGACATTTCATAAGTCTTTTTTCTTGAGTGCAGAGCCATAAAGTTCAGTGTTGATTAGGACACTGATAAGCGAGCAATTACTAAAAATAGTCGATTCTAGCATAAATGGGGAGAGCAGGCAGGCGTTCATGCTGTAAAGATAATTGGATGGGGCGTAGACAACGGTACAAAATACTGGCTTGTCTCAAACTCTTGGAATTCCGACTGGGCAGATGAAGGTAATCTATTATCTTAAAAATAATCACAATAATCCTAAATTACCAAACCTCTTTTTCAGGGTATTTCAAAATACTTCGTGGAGAAAATGAGTGTGGTATTGAAGAGATGGTTGCAGCTGGCATAATGAAACTTTAATTGAGTGTTACTCTGTATAAAATACTACTATACTTATTGAGTACAACGCGAATTTGTCCTCGTAATACACTTATAGTTACTACTCAATCAAGAAATTGGGTTCAACGCGAATTTGTCTCGTTACTGGTAATACAGATCAGCGCTGTCCGCAATATGTAAGCATGTCATATGTAACTAGAGAAGTCTGTAGTAAATGTGCTCAATAGGAGAAAATGAGGCGATGATGGTCCGTTTCTTCTAATGACTATGCACTGTTTCTTCTGACTTAGTTATTGGCGCGTTAGAGGTACCGCCCACCTTAAAGGCAGTGTCCCATCAGACTGGGGGTATCTCTCTCTCGCAATGATGTAATAGTAGACCCCCCTACCTAAGCGATGACTGAAGTTCGGAGCGAAAAAGGGGGTCTACAAAGCCTGAAATTTGCTCCGAAAGTGGGCCAAATCTTACGGTAGGATCGGGCGAGTGCGAGGTGCACGCAAGGTAGAGACGCAGAGTGGTTGCGGGTCCCTGCGCTCATGACGTGTGCGCTATACGCACTCTGGCCCTGCAAATCGATATTGCCGTGTGGGCTGCGTTTGGCCCTATCGTAAGATTCGGCCCACTTTCGGAGCAGATTTCAGGCTTGGTAGACCCCCCTTTTTCGCTCCGAACTTCAGTCACCGCCTATGTAGGGGGTTTACGATTACATCATTACGAGAGCCAGGTACCCCCAGTCTGGTGGGACGCTGCCTTTAAGTTAGGGGTCTTGAGCTTTTGGCAGCTTATAGCAATGGACCTCCTGTCAAGCCAATGCCCAAGCCGCAGACCAATATCGCTTCGGAAACGAGAAAATTGCTTCGGAATAACGAGAAAGCATGAGGAACTCAAGTCGGCATCGTCCCCCCTCCCCCTCCATTAATGCCCGCCCATCCAATCACCGTTCCGGAAAGCCGGCTTGCGGGTTCTCCAGAACGGAGATCGTTGGGGGTTCCGCAAATTCTCGACTCCATATTTGGAATAAGGAACATGAGAAGGCCCTGGAACGATCAAAACATAGGATTCAAGAATGTGGGTGGCAGGTGCCTTCAGTGAATTACTCGAGTAGACCTTCATTTTGAAGGAGTAGATTTTGGTTTTTCTGCTGGCGTTCAATTGTAGGAAGCGTGCAGCAAGTAACTTTACCCTGAAAGAGGTATAATTCAATCGATATAATGTTTGATTCCAAAAACTGCCGCTCTTCAAATCTCAACTTCACAAAATTCCTTTGAACAAAGGTTTTGTCGCTTTGATTTTGAAAAATTCGCGATTAACGTTTACTGGAAAGAAAATTTATCTGCTTTCTAATGACATCTTCGCGGCTCTTTGAGGGGAGGGACTCAAGAGATAAAAATTCCTATAGGGCCACTACTCTCGCTTTTCCAAAATAAACCTTCAGAGAGCTGAAATGCTCCAAATGAATTTGAGAACATGTTTTTTTACAGCCTACTTAGGCTGCTCTAATGGTACCAACCAAGTCTGTGCTGATTGAGAGTTTTTTTATGAAAAGATTTTTGAGAGAGATTAGGGAAATAGCGAAGAAAATTATTGTTGTCTTTTCTTTGCATTTTCCTTGAGAATCATAGCTTTTCATAAGAAAACTCAATGAGAACGAACTTAGCAAATTAGGAAGAACAGCTTACGAACTGTAACAAAGACTCTTTCACGTTCTTCTGCAGTTCAGAATTTTGAGAATGTTTTTCGAAAATCGAGAGCTAGAGTGGCTCTCTTATTCGAATTTTCATCTCTGGAGTCCTTATCGTCAATAAGACTTGAAGGTTATTTCAAAACGTAAATAAGTTTGGTCTTTTCTGTAGACCAATACGTTCACATAGGGAGCAGTACAAACTTTCATAATCCGGCAGAACTTTCGGTTCAACCTAATGGTTTTTTATAATCAAACTTTTCGGCATTTTTCGGTTCCATTCTCTACATGTGGCAAAAGCCTGCTCATAAAGGAGCACCAGGGCATGTACTGCTTTGAGTTCTGACCATACCACCATATCATGCCGTAATTTTCTGAACAAGATTCTGCAAGAACGCGTCCTCTTTCATTTGTCATGATGAACTGCCATGTCCATATACAATCTGTTTTGATATTTGCTTAACTACATAGCAACAATAGGTTCCATTCTTTCTGCAAAGAGCCTCTTGTAAATTCTTCTGTTAAAGACCCCTCTGCCCGGCCTCAAGGTAAAAAGGTCTTTTTGTAAGTCCAGCCATGACCATACCCTATCTCTAAAACATGCTCACGTATGTAAGTAGCCATTTTTCAGAGCTCACAGTCCTGTACACAAATTTTTATGACTATAAATGTCAGAGGATGTAAGTATCAAACTTCTTCATTTTCGAAAATTTATTCTCAGAATCAAACTGCAATCTAGAATCGAGATATTTCTGCAGATTTAAGCAGCACCTCTTGCAAAGATAAAATTTCTTAACAAGAGTTGAACTTGCTGTAGGCGAACACTACATAAAGAAACGATGACAAAGCTATAGAAGGTACTATTGAACAAGGTGACCAAAAATTTAATGAAAACCCTGGGTCCCTTAGGAGCTTTGGAACATGGTATTCCAAAAACCAACCAGCATCACCCACCAGCAATCAAAGCAACATCATAATTCTACACAGCATTAGTTTTACTATACAAGAATATTCACTGAACTAGCAAATCAGGTAGTACGCACCGCGGCAAGCGCCAAAGTTCTGTAACATTTTCAAGGTAAGTTTTCCCAGAGTATGTGCATGTCCTACCAGATATGGCGAAGTACAGAATTAGAATGCGCTGCAAAGAACTTCTTGCGCAGACTTCTTGTCACTGTTGTTGAAGAACATGACTACTAAAAAAGAACCAAATTCCATAACGGAGCGACGCAGCTTCATTGAAGATATTTTTCTAAACCTTTCTGAGCATCAAATATCTGGAATTAACCCATTCATTAGAGAGAAGTCACTCTGCAAGAGCAAAGTGCAGATTTTGTAGAATTTTTGCGCTCAAGAAGGGGTCGTATGCTACAAGAATGTAGCTACATGCACAACTTGCCTAAACATCCTTTGTAACCACTAAACTAAATATATCCTCGACTACGTAACTGAACTGATACAAGAGCACTAAAAGTTCACAGAAGGTTCTCTGAAATTGATCTTTTGAAGATTTTACGTACACAATTGCCAAGTGATAGCGCAAATGTAGAGTCAGGATCATACCCTCGATACATAGAGCCACGTACTCTGGTAACCTTCACTTTGAGAGCTATGGGGGGACACAACCTTTACCTGGAAAAAAACAGAAGTCATCCGGGGCTTCGCCTCGGATGTTATTATCTTGACTATATCGGAACGAATGTTAGTGAAGCAAATATAGAGGATAATATCTTTAGCTTATCTCAGCAAAACCGAGAATTTGCGTTGTCATAGCCTTTTTCACCTTAAGAAGAAGGTTTCTGTGGAATTTTCGCCAAAATTCAAGACAAAATTTCTCAGTTATCCTCTCATTTGAACAAAATCGAGTTTCAGAAGTTTAGAAAAGCTATTGGAGTTAAATAAAAACGAGAAACTGCTCTTGCGTCTTGCGCAGAGAGTCACGCACGAAAACACTGGTCTATCTCATTAATGAGTGATTTTCAAAGCTTGAGATATTGTCAGTTCTTCTCATCGTGTCATGAGGATCACAACGATATATAATGTTATAGGGTTTCGTTGAGACTCCGCGGTGATCTACGACCAGAGCCAAATGCCCCGTCGGCTCTGGTCTGTCTCCGCTGCTCGTCTGCATCTCCGCGCGCTGCGCGCTACCTCGCTACCCCAAAGCGGGGCGCGGGGCATTTGGCTCTGATACCCTTTTCTTCGTTGTTTCGAGCCCAATTTTAGCAATCTATATATCCAAAAACCTTGTTTTCGAAAATCTCTTGTTTTTCTCCTACTTGAACTATTTTCACACGGTTTTTTCGTACATTCTGTAGATCTTGCTTCTGTTCATAATGCAGACAACCACCCAGCCCTTACCTCTTCGATTATAGTGGAGTTTTTTGCAAAAAATCGTTAAAAGTACGTTTTTCTTTGCCTTGTCCTGTTTCAGTGCTTTCGCATCGATTTTTTTCCAGCTTGAGCGATTAATGCTCAGAACAATAAGCGCAACAATCCAGACAACGTCCCAGGAAACAGGAACGTCATTGCGGGGGTAAAAATTCAAAGGACGCATCAAAAATCGAAACCCCGTGTTGCGAATTGCTGGTCCTGGAGCGAAAACTTGCACTTCGAAAAGCCGCTAAATGAAAGATTTCAGACCTCTTCGCAGCATTTTTATCCGGTTTTCAGGAGTTCCCTTCGCTTTCCATATCTGTTTTACGTCATATTCTCTTCTCTGATCTTCTTTATATTAGGTTGTCCGGAAATTAATGCCCGTTTTAAATTTCAACCGCACTAAGTCATACACTTCTCACCACTAAATAGGTTGCAAAGTACCATTCGATAGAGCAAAGCAAGCTCTACAAGATGGCCATCTTGCTTTTGCAACAGCTCTCATCCATCTCGAGTTTCGAGCCGAAAACTAAAAAGACTCAGCAGGCCGAAAAATCGAAAAAAATCGTAACTCATTTCATAAAAGACCTACAAAAATTCTAACTTGTTCACACAAACACTATCCACATAAGACATCAATATACGCCGTTGCCGTATTTTTTTCTCTGTTAGAAACCAAGAAAACGGAAATTTTCATGCATTTGCCAAAGTGATGCTGTGCCGTCCCCACATAGGTAATTGTATACCACAAGCCTGTAGAAGTACAGACTTAAATTTTCAGCTTTCTACAAGCTTTAGTTCTCGAGAAAATTGTATTTTAGCTTGGACCACCTAACTAGGTAAAGCTATATTCGGTATTTCTCGAGAACTAAAGCTTGTATAGAGCTGAAAATTTAAGTCTGTACTTCTACAGGCATGTGGTATACAACTACCTATGTGGGGACGGCACAGCATCACTTTGACAAATGCACGAAAATTTCCGTTTTCTTGGTTTCTAATGGAG